AAAGGCGGCAGGGGCACCAGACTCTTGAGACACAGAGTATGGAAGGAGAAGCCGGGGAATGAATGCAAAGGAGAGAAGTAAAGATGAGATCCAGTAGGGGGTCGACAAACTTTTTCTGTAAAAGACCCAGAGAGTAAATATCTTAAGTCCTTGCGGACCATAAGATCTCGACTGCAACCACTCAGCCCTGCTGTGGCAGCTGGAAACCAGCCAGAATCAATACCTAAATGAATGTTTGTGGCTGGGTTCCAATAAAACTTTAAGGACACTGGGGAAAGTTTCATGAGTTTTAATAGTATACTATTTTATTGATTGATGGTTTGGTTAGTTTCAAAATAACAATAGCCTATTTAAAACTTGATTTTTAAAAAAATATATTTTTATTGATTTTATAAGAGAGGAAGGAAGAGGGAGAGTGAGATAGAAACATCAATGATGAGAATCACTGATTAGCTGCCTCCTGCATGCCCCACACTGGGGATCAAGCCCACAACCCGGGCATGTGCCCTAATTGAGAATCGAACCGTGACCTCCGGATTCATAGGTCGATGCTCAACCACTGAGCCACGCCAGTCAGGCAAAACTCGATTTTTATTTATTAGTCTCCGGCTTTCAACACATTTCCGTAGAAAGCCATTCTGGGCTTCAAAGGGGAGGGGCAAGGATGCTGAGTTGGCTCACTCCTGGCAAAGGAGGAGACAGGGTGCTGCCAAGAGCCCTTTGAAGTGCTTGCGGACAGGGCGGGCAGACAGCCCTGGTTGGTGCTCCTGTCTGCTGACGTGTGGCTATAAATCACCCGCTGAAGCTTGGGCTTTTCCAAGACGGATAGGCATCCGGGTGTTTGCTCTCTGACCTGCTCTACTGGAAAAGACGGGGCGGGCAGACAGCCCTGGTTGGTGTTCCTGTCTGCTGCTATAAATCACCTGCTGAAGCTTGGGCTTTTCCAAGACGGATAGGCATCCAGGTGTTTGCTCTCTGACCTGCTCTACTGGAAGAAAAACCTCCTCCTGGGGCTCTGCTTTCTGGCACGATGCCTTCTCTCCCCAGTTCTGATGAGCTGATTTTCTTTGTGAATGGAAGAAAGGTAAGTTTACACAATGATTAATATGAATTTTTGCACACCAGAGACAAAGCCAAGCTCGTTTTTTTTTTCACTATGATACCACTCCTTAATTAACCTCTGCCTTCTGTCTTTGTCAAGTCATATGTACTGGTCTGAACTTGAGCATGGGTCCTTCATTCAAGGTTTAGTGCAAAATTATGAAAGCATGGGGGCTTTTGCTTGCTCTGAACTTTTCTTTTGGAAAGTAAGGAGCTCCCGTTTGTATTTGTTGGATTACAATGAGAGTGAATTCTAACCCAAGTTATGAAAAACTAGATGAGCTCTACTGGAGTTCACCGATGTTATTGCAACAGAAGGTACATATGACATTAAGGATGCTAATCGCAAAGAATGATTTTGTTTTGCCTTCATACATCCACTCAGCTGGTCAATTAGCCCAGAAACTGAAGCAGCTCTCCTGAGCCATGGGACAGGGAGGCTGCTGTGTCCACTGGGGAAGAGGTGCGGCAACTCGAATCTCCGTTGTCCTCAGGCCTGTACTTGAATGAGCAAAATGAATAATTAAAATGTTTGAGGTGCTTTGGGACAATTAGGTGGGAAAAAACTTATAAAATATTAAAACAGAAAATGGTTTTGAAAAGTCATTTGGTGTTAATGATTTTGCTTCCCACGCCTCGTTGTGCTGCATTACTGATGTTCTTCCCTAAAAGGGGAGACACAGCTTTAATCATGGCAAACATTCTTGGAGTGTTGCCTGTCAAATAGCAGGGAAACAACATTTTTAGGAAACCCATGAACTAAAGAACAAAGAGTGAAAGAGAAAGCAAAGAACCAAGAAAAAATCTGGGTTTAGCAATACTGCTTACCAATTGGTCAGGATCTTGCATGACCTGAAGCCAACTGGCATGTCAGAAGAATAATTGCTGAGTGGACAATTCACAGGAATTCAAAAGCTAAGAAATTTTTTGAGTTCAAGGAAAATGGGGCTTTGTTGCTTTGCCTTTGCTGGTAAATAAAACCATGTATCCTCTAATAACACATTAGAATGAGTATTCCCTCTCCAGGTCTCCCAATCTTTTGAATTCATAGCTGATAGTTTGGTATTTTTCCCTTTCTCTGTCTTACAAATTTCTAAGACAAGTTGTAGATGGCAAATAAAAGGGGGGAAATATATGCAACTCTTTGAAGAAATTGGGTTTGCTGTTATTTTTGTGGTTGGTCTTCTTCCCTTTAGACCCAGGAGCACAGAGTTGAGCAAAGCACATTCCTCCACCAATGGCCCATCCTCATCACAGTCTGGACAAGGCTCTTCGTTTGCTTTATATTATTTTCTTTTTTCTTTTTATTTCTTATCTTCTCTTTATTTCCTTTTCCCAAATGCATTCACTCTTGTGCACTATAAACATACATCCTTGTCATATACTTTCAATATAGTCATTTAGAAAGATAGATGTATCTTTAAAATAAATGCAGTTGATCCTTGAACAATACAGGTTTGAACTGCGCTGGTCCACCTATATGTGCTTTTTTTCCACAATGTATTTTCCTTACGATTTTCTTAATCACATTTTCTCTAGCTTACTTTATTGTTAGAATACAATAGAAATATATATCCTATATGATAAAGAGGTAATATGCAAATTAACCCTCATGCCTTCACAAGATGGCTGCCTATGACCAGGCCGGCAGGGGGGTTAATGAGGGACAGCCAAATGACTGAACAAGCAGGCTGTGTGGGGTGACCAGGCTGGCAGGGGGGGCAGTTGAGGGTGACCAGGCCAGCGGGGGGAGGGGCAGTTAGGGGTGACC